ACACACACACACACACACACACACACACACACACACACACACACACACACACACATACACAAGCAAGTGGACGTTGGGCGTGGCTGGGACAGCTGCCTCCATATGGCATTATTCTGCAACTTCTTGCACAACTTTTCACGCTCTCTCTCTCACTCACGCTCTGAGCATGTGTGTGTGTGTGTGTGTGTGTGTTAAGTGTTGTGCGCGTACGTAAAAAGCGAAATTAGAACTGTAAATGGCATTAATATTGAAACTTTGTTGCCGCTGCCGCAAGCCGCGCCCCGGCCGCAGGCCCTGGCCTCACGCTGTGCTTAGCTGCTGTCCTGCTGTTTGCACAACTTCAACTTTTGCAACACGATTCCATTTCCGTTACTCTGTAATAGTTTCAAGCGTTATAGCCACCCCCTCCCCCTCCACACAACATCTTTGACTCTAACTCGAACGGCGACTACTATGGCGCTCCATCAAAGCGTAATGAGCGTTTTCTCTGTGGCCGCCGTAGCTGAGGTTTCATATTGTTGTTGTTGTTATTGTTGCGCCTTTTTGCATTTTATTGCATTCGGAGTTTGCCAGTTGGCAGTTTTTGTTGCAGCCACACTTTGTTTTGCCATTGTGCTGCGGCTGAAAAACCATCAACAGGAAGAGGTCTTATGCGTGCTGACAAGTTAAGCACCGGCCTCAGCTACCGCAACAGCAACAAACGGCAAACAGCAAACGGCCAACGGCCAACGGCCAACGGCCAACGGCCAGCAGCCAACAGCAGCAGCAGCAGCAACAATTAATTACTTGAATCCATTTCGGCTAAGAAACAAAACAAATTGAAAATTAAACCGAAACCAATTCAATGCATTACAATGAACATATATCATATATATGTACGAATGTGTATATATGTATGTATAGAAAGCTACCGCACGAAAGTTTACTGAAATTAGGGGTTAAAGCATTTTCAGACTTGACAAGCTAAAAATATATAAAATTAAAAATAAATAAATAAATAATCTTCATAAGCTCTTATATTTAAAAAATTAATAATAGAAAATGCAAAAATTGTTTTTTTTCAAAATATTGAATATAAGTTTCATAATAAAAAATAAATAAAAATTAATTATTTTTTAAATCTTGAATATAATTATAATAAATAAATAATTTTTATTTATTTATTTTTTTATATTTTTTATAAAGAAGCTTTTAATAAATTTTGTTTTGTAAAATCGTGACTGAATAAGTATTTTTAAAAATTTTTTTTAAATGTAACCTTTTTATAATAATATTAAAAAAAAAAAAAAAATAGAACAATAATTAAATCAAAATAATCTTCATACATTTTTTTTTTACAATCTTTTATATGACTACTTAATAATAAATAAATAATTGTTGCACAATTATCTTAGAGCACTTTCAGCTAACATCTAACTGAATCAGATTTTCAAATGAAATTACCGAACTGCCTCTTTTATATACCCGTCCTAGACTCTCCCCAAGTCTAGAGTATTCATAATATATTACACACAGAGCCATCATCAAGCACTTGTCAAGTCTTTCAAGAGCAGCACTTTCCATTTATATTTGATAAAATTTGATGAGTGCGCAAATATTCAAAGATGCCTCAGGAATTGTGGGCGTGCATGTGAATATGTACATGCGTGTGTGTGTGTGGGTGTGTGTGCTTGTGTTTGTGTATGGAATCAAACGCAGTACAAGTTGATTAAAAGTCTTTGAGTAAACGTACGAGTATTTTATAAATTCATTACAAAAATAATAATTAAAGAAAACAACAACATGTCGAAGAAATTTGCCTAAGCAAATGTCAAAGCCACAGCTGAGTTTTATCATTTTTGAGTGAAACTCTTGAAAACAAAATTTTATGAAGCAATTAGGGAAGACTTTTTAAGCAGCTTCAATACGTGAAGCTTTATAAATAAATTAAGGAACATTATGCAATCAGGAACTTGGCTCGAGTGATGTAATTCTTATTGAGTTCTTATTTTACTAATTTAAGAAAAAATATATTTGAATATTTAAATGAAAAAGTTTTTGTCTGGAAGCAAAAAATTATTGAAAATTATGTTAAAATTATATTACGCCAGTAAAATAATGAGATTAAAAAAGTTGCCTATCAATCAATCAATCAATACTGCAGAGAAATATATTTTAATTTATAGTTTTTAGAAGGAATGGCAAATAAAAAGAAAATATATATATATAAATATGTAAGAATAAACAAATAAAAATAATTAAACCATAAAAATTAAATTTAAATTGAATATTAAGTAAACTATATAAATTTTCAATCGATATCAATTCTATTTCTATAAATTTATATTGACTACATTTCTATAAATACAGCACAGGGGATATATGCCAGCACTTCTCCTGCCTCTCTCACATTACAGGGTATCTGAAGAATGCTGCTCTATGAGCGTACTCAAACCGAACGTCAATGCTTGTGTTTGTGTTGGCGGAATTACTTTTATGTTGCATAGCCGCAGGCGCGAGTGCCGACTAGTCTACAAACAAAGGCAGACAAAGTGGGCGAGAGGTTGCTGGGTAGTAGAACAGAAGGTTACAGGAGCCGGGGAGGTTACCAGAGCCCAGCCATAGCCTTGCACATATGCGAAAAGGGGCACAAAAAGGAAAAAATTCAAATAACATGATAAAATGATAATGATGAAATGCTTCAATGTTTATTTAGACAAACTCTGGCGCGCACTCGAGAGCTTTGCATATGCGAATGTGTATGAGTGTTTGTGCGTATGAGTATGCATGATTATGTGTGTGCGTATGAGTATATGTGTATGTGCTTTGAGTGTGTTAAGATGTGCTTATATTTCTTATTTGCCAAGACATAAGATTACTTTTGTAAAAGTGCGAAGCACCGCAATAAGTATTTAAAGGAATTTTCATATAATATGCAAATGAGCAGTGCCACAAAGAGTGCGAGAGCGAGAGAACGAGAGAAAGAGAGAGAGCGAGAGAGCAGCAGCAGAATGAGAGAGCGCGCGACAAGCTCATCATTTGGGCTCATTTTCATGTGATTTTCTTTCGAATTTTATGGGCGTTCGTCATAAAATAAAATGAAAATGTGCATAAATTTGGTATTTGTGCGAACGGCAACGGGCTTCGCGGCGGACTCATTCATTGCCTTTTGTTAAGTGTAGCGTTTTAAAAATTCTATCAATTACATTTTTAACTTTATGGCCGACACATAAAAAGCGAGAAAAAAAATCGAAAAGGAAGAGAAAAGAAACGAACCAACCAGCTGCCAGCTGCCAGCCGGTCTTAACATATTTTTCCAAAGATCCATAAAGTGCGCATTATGAACACGGCCCAAAGACGTCACGAGCTTTGATTTTAATTATTGCATTTGGGATCCTAAAGCCTGAGCCACGCCAAAGCCTGCCACGGCTGAGAAATGTCTCTAATTAAACTGTCGTATGGGGGGCCCCACTTTATTAGCATAGCCTCCGTGCACACAGGAAGGGGGGAGGAGGAAAGGAGGAAGAAAAACTCTGGAAGCATTGGATCTATAATTTTCCTTGATTTAGCTTGGGCGGCTTCCTCATCGCTTTTCCCTGTTTAAGCTTCCCTTTAGCTTCCTTTTTATTATTACCCCAAATGCTTGTGGCTATAATACTCTGCTTGGCTGGCAGGAATGTTCTATGTATCGTCCATGTCTTGGCTCTTCTTGCAGCTCTTGTTGTTATTGTGATTGTCTTGCTTCCGCTTCTTTTAGTTTTTCTCGTTTTTCCCACTACTTCTTCATTTTGGTTCGTTGGGGCAATGAAGTGCATGAGATATGCCAAAGGAAAATGCCATGTTCCTTTGTTCTGTATGCTGGTTCTAATAAACGGTTGATATGACCACAACCACTTACTCAAACACCCACACACCACGCCCGTCTATGTATGTTTGTATATATATAAAATATACACTTGAAGAATATATGCAGTAAAAATGATGGTAGCGATGATGATAGTGAGAATGCCAATACTAATGAACAATAAACAATGAACAATGAACAATGAACAATGAACTATGAACAATGAACAATGAACAATGAACAATGAACAATGAACAATGAACAATGAACAATGGACAATGGACAATGAACAATGAACAATGAACAATGAACAATGTGCAATGAACAATGAACAATAAACAATGAACAATGAATAATGAGCAATGAGCAATGAGCAATGAACAATGAACAATGAATAATTAATAATGAACAATTAACAATAAATAATGGTTAATGAACCATGAACAAAGACTTATATGACAATAATGGAGAACACAGATAATGATAATAATCATGATAATTAATAATAATAATCTATGATTTCATGATTAGAATGCCAACTAATTCTGTTCAACTGCATAGAATTTAATCTAAACACCTTTCTATTCCCGCCCATTGAATGATATTCACAATTTCTTTAAGTGTAGATATCTATGTGGAGGCCATGACAGTTGCCCACATCAGTCCACACATACGTATAATGTATGCCAAGTGTATGGGTCCAAGTTTTTTATGTAGCATTTTGTATACAAACCTGGCCGAGATGACCAGACGAGGACAACGATCTCGAACGAGAAAGTGGACGAGGACGAGGTCGAACAGCTCCCGGTCTTAACCTTAGTGAATGCCTGCATGTATGTGTGAATGGCTAGATGTGTGCATAGCTGTGCCTAGCCGTTGTCTATCCACACTCGGAGTGACCGCTGCTGCTTACGCTAAATCCTTGTTATGTACAAATAATCTCGCACACACGACCGCATTTAAATTGAAAAACGTACATGGCACATGCCAGCGGTGCGACCATCGCCATCACATTTGAATGGGTCCGAAACTGAAACCGAAACGGAAACCGAAACCGAAACCGAAAACAAAAACGTGTTTGGCCACGCCCAATGGGCGAATGGCCAAATCTTGGGACAGATGCTCGTCAAGTGCTCATCCTGTGTGGGGCTGGTGCCTTGGATTAATGCATAGTTGCGGTCAACTGGCAGGCATCACATGGTGTAGGGTTAATTATGCACATATGTATGTAAGTCCTGCATATGCAGACCGCAACATTTGAATGACAACTGTGTTAAGAATACTCACACACACACACTCACACACACACTCAGTCCGGTCTACTCACCCGTATTGGCCACCTCACAGGGCAAAACTATTATATCTCCGGCTATGAATTTGAATGTCTCGGAACGTGATATGAACATCGGCTCGTGCTTGGCCATCAGACCCTGGGCGCTGGCTGCAAAAAGGGGTGAGAACAATTCAAATATTAAATATCAGATGTGTATGTATGTATGTGTGCATGTACATATGTATATATAATCCTATATATGTGCATATTTTGGTCTAAGATATCAACTAAATTACAGTAAATATTATTAGCCTAACGAACGCACGTCACACAGCAAAGACCATCATCATGTGTGTGTGTGTGTGTGTGTGTGTGTGGCTAATTGGTTTAGGCCATTTTGTAGAAAATTTGTCAAATGTCGCAAAGTTCATAAAGTGCATTTTATTATGCTCAGGCTAATGAAAGTTGTCAAATTGCTTTCAGACAGCTGACAGACGAGCAGCTGTATAGACAGCTCGCATATCCTTATGCAAGTCTTGACACACACACACACACACACACGCATACAGCTTAAGAAATAATTTAGTGCTTTTGCTGTTGATTTGCCAATCAATTTTAAATGTCAATATGCATGTGCATGTGCATGCGCATGTATGCATGTATGCATGTGTGCGTGTCTCTGAAATACTTGAGCTTTGCAAAGTGTTAAAATGCACTTAAATATTAAAACTTTGTCATCGTGCTCTCTCCATCGGGATTTGCATTAATTCAATTGCTTAGTTTTATGAGATTAAATACATACACACGCACACACACACACACACACACATAGATATATGCACACACATTTAAAGTTCTGGCTACTTTCGTTCAGGATTCATAAAATATGCAAACTCTAAGGGCGCTTATTATTATTAGTTTTTGTGCGAGCATCTGAATAGTTTTTGATATGGGAAGTGTGCATATATGTATGTGTATACATATATAATGTATATATATATATAAGTAAAATTGTATGGGAGGTATGTAGTATAGTAACATCGCCTGTAAATATATACTCAGATATTAAATTATAATTTTAACGTTTTGAGAGGCAGACAAAAGAAACATTGGCTGAGGAGTAAAGGTTAACAATTTCAAATCCCGTTTTGAATATGATATATGATATCTTCTACGGCGTATTGTGTCCGTTTCTGTCAAAAGATTTAGGATTCCCAGATAGCCTGTAGCTATAGCTTCAAAGAACTGTAGAGCATACCTAGTAATCTCATGGATATTGAACTATAACTTGGAGACTTTCTTCTTCTTCTGCTTTACACCTGGCTCCAATTACAAGATCATTCCATAACACCAAAAATCAGGTCAATCAGTTTAATCAACAAGCAGCTGCTGAGCAGCGCAAGCAACCTCTATATCTATCTTTCTCACACCTGTTCGCCTGCTCACCTGCGCTGTCATTGCGATTTGTAATTAGGCCGCAATTACCAACAAAAATAAGGGGAGCCCTCGGCTGGCGCCGCTGCCCGCTGGCGCAACAATTATGTGGCGCTTGCAACATTTGCGGCGTCAAATGCCAAACGGAAGCGGACATATCCGGTTACAGGCCCCATGCCGTAATCGATTACTTTAAGTGTGACAGTGCAAAAATAAAAAAGAAGAGGGAATATAAAAAAGTCGAATGAAAAAGCGCAAAATAAATAAATAAAAAAAGTACAAAAAAGCGAACTGGTCGCACTTCCGCACGCAAACAAATGCACAAATAAAAAAAAAAAGGGAGAAAAAAGCCATCAACCATCGGACGGCGGCGGCATCAGGTTCTCGAGCAGCAGACAGCAGCAACCAGGGCAGGACAACAATAATGCGTATAAACAAAATGCCGGACTTTGCTTGGCCCCGGCCAGGCCAGGCCAGGAGCAGCAGGAGCAGCAGGAGCGGCAGCAGGAGCAGCAGCAGCAACAAAAGCGCTGGCAAACAATTTAATACGTTTAAGCGAATGTGTCAACAGGCCAAGCTGGCTTGAGCCTTGGGCCACGAACCCAAGCATCAAGGACGACGAATGGCCAAGCACTTTTGACATCGGGACAGTGGGCGTGGAGCTGGCGCTGGAATTGATTCGATTACGCTGCGGGCACAATAATGAAGTGTCAAATGCTGTATTTATCTGCTGCGAAAACATTCGTGAATACTGTGAACACTCGCCTCTACACAGTGACCGAGTGCGTGTCCACACGAACAAGATGAACAAGTGGAAGAAGAGACGGCGAAAAAAAAAAGAATAGAGGCTGGACGACGTAAGCGAGGGACGGCCGACGGGGGGTGCAAGCAAATAGGTAAGCAAAAGTCGCCAAGGCTCCATGGTATTGGGCCCCTGACATGACTTGGCAGCACTTGGGCCCTCGATGCCATGTTTCCGGCATTTTATTTGATTTCGCCCAGTCGTGCCCCACTTGGCCACACTTGCCGCACTCGCCCCACCTTGATTTCTTTCTCTTGCCTATTTCTGTGTATGTTTTGTTTTCGTTCGCCCGAAGTAAATATAATTTCTTTTGTATCTGCAGCGGCTCGGTGCGGCTGTTGTCAGTTGTTGTCCTGCCGCTGCTGTGTATTCCGGCAATATTTTCGCAAGGATAAAGGCGTTGGCAGCACGTGCCTGTGCATGTCCTGTGCCTGTGCCTGGTTCACTGCTGTCTGCCTGTCAATCGAATCCTTGATGCGGATAATAACGAAATAATGTCAGCAGTAGAAACTTATTTCTTATGGCATTTTCCTTTTGAAGTTAGTCTTAGAAGGGTTTCCGGACAGTTAGTACCCACGTGCCGCCCCCTCTCTCTCTCTCTTTCTCTCTGGGCAACACATTCGACTGCTAATAACCCAAATGACTTTCTGTCACTTGGGCACTGATAGACGACACGGATCTGCGCAGCATCAGGGGAAAGGGTCCATCGTCAAGAGCCGCTCGCTAATTGGACAGAGCCGCGCCAGGACTTTGGCCCGGGTCTTTCTATTCTTTTCGCATAATAGAGTCAGTTAGGCAAAAGCAGGCAGCACCCTAACTGAAATCCCTCCCTCTCTCTCTTTCTATTTATATATATACTTATATATATTGATCTATTCAAAGTTGCTAAAGCAGTTATTAAGCTGAATTGTCTTGGTTTCTGGGAAAATTGTATTTAAAGTGAAGTAAGTTCAAGCAAATGAACCGTATTCTCATGCTCGATTGCCTCGAGTCCTGTAATACATAACTGGTATTTATATTATTATATATATTTTATTTATATATATTAAAGCCCTTAGGATCCCAAAAGTTGCAAAATATTTAATTTGTAATTTTCGGCTTCTTTGTTCAGGGAATCACCCACTCAAAATACCTATAAAAATGCCTTTGTTCTTTATTTACTCAGCTGCAGCAGAGGGAGCGAGCAGAGGGAGAGTTACACATCTGTATAGATGGGGAAAATATGTATGTTAATATACCCCAGTGAAAATCTATTCCCTCTATTGTTTCGAGAGATTCTAGAGTATTCAGCCTCTAGAGCTCTCAACTTTATAAACGATGTCTATGAAGTATGGACAGATCTACCTATATTATGGTCATTTGATCATTTGATGAGTGTACATCATATAGAATCTATCTACAAAACTATAGTAAGGCTAATAATCATTGTTGTATTAGTTATATGAATATTCTGTTCACATTCCCATTGAGCTTGCAGCATTCATTTGAAAAGAATTCAGACTTTGTTTCCAAGGACTAGGAGTTTTTCAATTAAGAATAGTAAGAGATAAAGCTGGTCGTGTCAGTTTAGAATATACATATATATATATACATAAATACCTCTATCTATATACAAATATATATATGCGAACACAATTCACAGATTAAGTTGATTTTATAATTCCAAATTGTTGAGCACTCTGTAGAGCAACCTCTAGTGTGCATCTGTGTGTGTGTGTGTGTGTGTGTGTGTGTGCGTGTCACACTGTGTGGAGCAACTATTCAATTTTAATTTTCAATTCGAGTGCCTGGCAGCAGCTCGGACTGGACCTGGCCAAGGTTTTTTTGCGGTTTGATATTCAAAGTTTTTCCATTAAAGTTATTCGCAGAGAATAAGAAAAGTTTGCTTCACTTACACATGCACAAACACACACACACACAGAGAGAAAGGCACGAATACTAATACACACATTTGCAAATATTCAATTTGAGTAGAAAATTATCAAACAAGTTTTTGTTTTTTTGTTTTTCGTTTTTACTCTCTGTTTTTCTGACCTTCGACTGGAATGGCAATTTGGACGGCAGCGGGGCCTTTTTTGGCCACGAGTGAATTGTCGGTAAATTGAAACATTTTTAAGCACGCAAAGTACATAAAATATGAAAATGCTTGCAATTGCAGCTGCAGCTGCAACTTCGGCTCATCGCTGCCACCTGCCAGGGCCATAAATGGAGAAACGAGAAACGAGCAACGAGAAACGAAAACAACTACAGTGAAGCTCAGCTGGCTGAACGTTTGCCTCACAGCGCCGTGCAAGTGAAGCTCATTTCATATATTTTTTTGCTGTTTTTACTTTGAGGCGCTGCAAGGCAGCAGAAAAAATTTCATTAAACACCGCACAGAGTTGAGCACAGAAAAAGCGGCGAAAAAAAAAAAACGGGAATCGAGTATAAGAAGCGGAGCTAACTAAATGCATGGCAAACTTTAATGCACGCACATTTGCAAAAGACGCGCTCGGGGCGACCAAAAGTAACGGCCCGAAAAAGTATGCTACGAAAGGAGCAAATAAAGAAATTGCCAGAGAGAGCGAGAGAGAGAGAGAGAGAGAGACGAAAGGAGTGAGTGGGTAAACGAGAAAAAATGCAGCTGTAAGTTTATCTCATGCCACTTGCAAAACCAACACGTAATTTCCTTTGAGTGGCCACTTATCTCGCTCTCTCTCCCTCTCTCTCTCTCTCTCACTCTCTCTCTTGCACATTCTTGACTAGTTGGCTGCATAAATCTCCCATAACTTGGCCAGTTGAAACTAAAGCAGGCAATGGCAGCCTGCTGAACGACAGCAAAATGAGCCACCAAATGCAGCGGAATCAAGGATTACCTATAGTCTACACACACTCTCTCTCTCTCTGTCTCTCTCTCTCTCCCACTCTCTCACTCTCTCTTGCCTGGCAAACT